TCATGGTATCATCGATTTCGTCATGGTCTATCAAGTATTGATTGGTCATTGGCTGAGTCTGCGACGTTACACGGAAGAACTCAGGAATATATTGCAGATCTGAATAAATTTTATCGTTATCATCCACAATTTTGGCAAAATGGAGAACAAGATTTTGAAATGATATATGAATACAAACCAAATCTCATTGTAGCTTATCATCGAGGTATTTATAATCAACGACGTATGGCTATCATTCATAATTTTTCTAATCGAGGTTATCAATCTTATGATATATCATTACCAATGTGGGATCCAGATATTGCACGTATTCAAAAAGTGGTAGAAATTTTTAATTCAGATAGTCCAATGTATGGTGGTTCAGGATTATTTCATAATGAAAATATTACAATAGTATTTCGTCACGAACGAGCAATAATATTTAGACTTGCAATTCCTCCATTGGCTACATTAGTATTAGAGGAACAGTTAAATTAATAATAAATATATATTGATTTTAAGAAATATACATTATTGTTATGCATATATCGATATATCTTTTCATTTTTATATATTTGAGTTTTGATATCGTATTGATTTCTTTTACTAATGAAGAAAACTTGTTGACTATTGTTTTTAAATCAGTACATGTGCATAACATCTATTTTTTGCACTTAGAAGATATTTTGAAATGATTCTATTCTATTAAAATATTGAAAGTCTACCATTTATATTTATTTATTGAATACTATAGATACGTTACTGAAGCAAGATACATTGAATATATTTATGAAATGTGGGTGATAATAATAAATAGACGATTAAAAATAAAAAGAATCATTCAAGTTCAATATGTTCATCAGAATATCTCGTAATTTCTGGACATACTTGATTCTCTTGACGACAACATGAAAAATTTTTAATTTGTCGCCAATATTTTTTCTTCAAAGTATATTTTACTTGACGACGATATCGTGCTGATATTATAAAAAATAAATAAAAATCAAACTAAAAAATAGATAAAATTCATTCTATAGGAATTAAATAGAAATAAAATATATTTACCGAAGAATTTAAATTAAGAAATGAATAAAAAACAGTTTGAATCAATCGTTCAATTGCAGATCGTAACATATCGATTTGTTTTCCATTAATATTAATTGAATAGATACGATAAATAGTATAAGGTAACATAAAAATGACGAAACATACAGCACGAGTCAAAACCATTGCAGTTATTTGATGATCAAGTCGACGACGTTCAATTGGAATTTGCCGACGAACAACACGGCGAACATTTTGATAAGCTAAGAAGCTAAATAATGAAGTAATGAAAATTGGAAATAAACCTGTTAGAATTGGATAATAGAAATATGTCGCATATTCAATCCATATTGGATTTATGATACTACATCCTATTAACGGTTGAATACCAGTAAAAAAACTAAATAAAATAGTATGAGACAAACTCATAAAAATGCTTAGAAATACAAGATATCGACCTAATTTGAATGTACATGTTTGTCTTAAATTTAATCGATAATTTGTTGAAAAAAATTGATCACAAGCAGCAAAACATATCATAGAAGTTGGAACTAATATAGTCAGTGGAAATATAATATATCTTAATCTACACCAAATAAACGATTGGTTTATGGCACTATCGCCATATACTGATGAGACAATATTTACTATGATAACAGTAAGGCCATTGATAAAATTAAAAATTGATTCAACTGTTAAATATAAAATACATTGATTATTTCTAAATAATTTCAATTTAGTAAAGACTAGAATATTTAGAGTATTGCCAATAAGTCCAGCAACGCTTGTAATACAATTTGAATATAATGAATATTGGGTGGAAAATTGTAGAATCGATGATGGTGATAATGATGCCATTATGGTGAATGGGTCTGTTTTATCAGAATGACATCGTTTCTTTTATATTCTAGCAAACTTATTATTGTTATTTTTAATTAATTGACAAACGAAGATGAAAATGACAAGAACAGAAGTTATTATACAAAAATTCTAATCTACGTAGTTGATCATTTAACTGACATAAACAGATAGAAATTAAAATTTCATCAGATTATATGCTTCTATCTGTTATAGATCTGTGTGGTTTGTACAGTAAAATGTTTCCTACAGACATAAACTACATTACAAGTTAATGTTGTATCGATTTTACTTCAAGGAATTACATGTATATTAATATATAAAATTAGTAACTATTCAGAAAGTGAACTGTAACTGACAAGGTTATAAATAACATATCTATAATATAATATATTTTCACGGTAGAATCTATGATATACACAAATGCAACAGATTTTATTTTAATGAAAATGAAGTTTATGATTCACAGAATAATTATGTATGAATAAACTTTAGATAAGGAAATATTAGCTCGTATTTTTTATTTTGGAAGTATAAATTACATTGTTCGTATTCATCTTTGTGTAGATGTTTCTCGAGTTTGTATGCTTAAAAACAAAAAAGAAAATCATGATAAAAACCAATATAGGCCAGAGCAGTCAAATCGAATGAAGATATAAAGATAATATATTTTTTAATTCATAATTAAATTATTTTACGTAGATATTAGATCATCCTCGAAAAACGCTTTTATGCAAATTAATTCTTAAAGATTCCAACCATACACCTATGTATTTTTTCATATGCAATCAAAATTTGCTGTGATAGATGTTTTGACATTTGAAGAAAAATATACATCTTGCCAATTTGTGCAACTTTAGATGACATTTTTAACATAATGAGTATTTCAGTTTTAAAATCCTAAGAAATACGTATATATTTTTAACATTTTGTTCCATCTTCTTCTTTGTTCATGTATATGTCGTGGGCCAATCTAAGATTCGCCTAGGCGACTGTTAAGATAGAATAATAAGAAACGTAAACAATAGCTGATGTACATAAAATTAGAAGATTCTCATAAGGAAAGTTTATTTAGATATCAATTACTTTTCATCTTTCCATGTTTTTACAGCAATTAACATCTTTATGACACTTTGTCGAGCAAAAAACTAGATTTTTTTTACAAGGACATCCCTGTCTTGCATGAGCAACAGATACCATTTACAGCACCTCGAACATATAACTTTGAGGCAGTGATCATCGATATCTTTGGTAGATCATCTAACTGTAGATGAATAAGTTCTTTTGACTCATTCAGCTTCTTTTTAAATGATCATACTAAGTAATAATTTTGGATTAGTGTTAGTTCTATCAACTCTATTAGTTTTTAATCCTACAAAGTCACCAACGTTGCACTTATCCTGTAATAATTGCAAATGAACTTTATGAGCCACTTATTGTCTTGTTGCTCGAGTAACGTAAACATTGGTTGCTTTTGTTCGAACATCACTATGAGGAAACTCTTCTAAGGTTGGATTACACGTACTTGACTCATTAACCATGGTAAATTTCAACGCTATTTTCATAAGTTACATTGTTTGTTGTAGTAAAATTAATTGAAGCACACTGTTGATCGGTTGTTGTGCTATTCAAGGCCATTGAAAAATAAGAACCTATAAAAGTAGATCATTTTATTACTTATTTATCAATTTAAACCATACCTTCATCTTTTTGATCATCTATACTATCAATCTCGTCTAATTGCTTTAAAATGGATGCTAGTGATGCGTTCTCATCCTCTATTCCTTGATCAGCAGGTGACTGACATAATGCCATATTTAAACATGGTTTCTGTCCGAAGACTATTTTTAACGGTGTATGTTTGATGCCATGT